AGGCCTAATGTACATTGTAAATCAGCGGTATCCTTGGCGCATATCCTATCCTCCTCAATAATCTTCTACTAAATATTTTGATCAATGAGTTCTTGATTAGTCTGTCATCAGAGTCCCTTTTTACTTGCTAAATCTGGTTGCCTAATACTCAGTATTGAGTCAGTGAAGGCAGCTATTGATGAAGATCTGCAGCCTGTTTTTTCAAATGCTTTAAACGATCTGCCAACCCTATGAATTACGCTGAGGCAACGATTTGAAGCGTTGAAAATAGGAATCTTCTTCTTGCTGATTGAATTTGATTTCCACAGTAATTACAGACTAGTGAAGGTTTTGTCACGGCCTTTCGAATTCTGGCTATAACATCCTCAGTTGTGCCAACTGACTTTATTCTCTGACGTTGTTGCCTTGATAAGTGAAAAAGAAGATGATCACATTTGGGATTTCTAACGTTGATAGTAGTTGATGTTTACTGATATTTACATATAAAAACTATTTGGTTCAACAGCAATCTATCCTGACCAATCATTAAAATTATCAGAAAAGGTCAAATCGCTATTTTTCAGAGTACATTTTCACTCTACTGAATTGTAAACAGCAGGAATCATCTACGCATTTATCGACAGGTAATAAAAATGAAGTATTTTGATCTTTGTAGAATTGTAAACGTCGGATAATTAATAAATTATGTGTCCATGCCCAAAGGGGAATACCGTTTTTTATAGTAAGAGTGTGTTATATACATAAGACTGTCAGCTATAAGTGTCGTAGGAATCTTGTGCTAGACAGGAATTGATTCATAGAGTTTTTCCAACTCTAGCTACCTTCATGGTATCGTGGATTTAAAACCGACAAAAAAAGTGATGCTGTCATCTGATAAGTTAGTAAACCGATTAACGCTTTGTATACTAATGGTTGGGAAAGCATAACATATTCAATAAATTTAATGCATCTCATTGTAGCATTAGGAAAACACAATATTCAGCGAAGAGATTCTTTTCAACGAATTTATTATCATGCTGCACAATCGTGTATATTTGGTTTTTTTTTAAAGAAGGTGAAGGAATTAGGTCAAAGGTGTGAATACATGAAACAGTAATAATATGAAATGCAGTTAAAATATTTGTGATCATCATCATAGTTTAATGCCAAATGGCAAAATAATTAATGTCATATATAGAATAATACATAAGCTGTATAGATTTTCGAAAGGGGTACATAATTATAGGATTAGTAGACGAATATGAAATGTTACATAACATGGTGTGAAATTTGATAAGAGAGAATTCAATATTGTAAAAATAAAAAGTATACAAATGAATAATTTTGGGTTTAAAAGGTCAAGTGGGTCAAGTGGAAAAGATTCAGAGTGAGAATAGTAATAATAATAATAATAACCGAAGCAATAAGGGAAAAGCAAATAGAATAGAATATCCAAGGGAGAAGAAAGCATTGTACATACTTTTTTTGTAAACAAAGGTCTGGCTTAAAGTCGTGAATTGCCAAAGCCTCAGCTGTCTTTAGAAGTCTGTAACGAAGAAAACGCGGGAGGTTAGCATGGATACTACATAAGATCTTGAAATCATGGTCAGGGATGACAGAGTGACAGAAGTTGATCAGGTGTTCCAGAATAGAGCTTCGCACGCACTTCCTTTCTCCTTTGTAAGACAATGCTGGAATATGTTCTCGTAATCGTGTGGAAAGCGTCCTCTGACAACGGTCAATGTAGCTTGCTCCAGCAGAGCAGTTGAAATGATAGATCCATACAGAGGCAGCCAGATGGGGAAGCTTATGTTTTACGGACGTAGAGAAGAACTTGCGGCTGGTGAACTTGTGATTATAATCATAAATATTTAAAATTCATTTCATGCTACTATTATTATTTCATGTATTCACACCTTTGACCTAATTCCCTCACCGGATATAATTTCGTTAAAAAAAACCATACATATCCGATTGTACAGCTGGATAATAAATTCGTTGAAAATAGTCTCTTCGTTGAATATTGTGTTCTTATTGAATAAATTCAAGATATGGAATAAAACATGTGAAAAATTTGCATGCGAACATCAATAGGAACAAAACAAAATGTTCAGCAAAGAGGCCTTTTTCGGCGGTGAATTCATTTTCCACTACAGCTGTACAATCAATCGCATTTATATACAATGTTTTGATGAAAAAGGTTAGTGGCAAATTTGATGATGAGCTGTTATAAACGGAATTGTTAATACTGGTCGACGCAAAAGACGTTCTGAATAAGTGAATTGTGGTTTTCCAATAAGGTAAATGATATAACGAATGAGTTTTATTCAAGATCAACACAGAAAAGAAGATAAATATGGAAGTATGTACGAATTATGCAAGTAACAAAAACAAACAAACTAACCAAAGTCCAGTTAGAAGAAATCAGCGAGGTTGTTACAATGACAGGAGGAGTGGTTTAATAATTTTATTTTTTTCTCTACAGTCCTAGTTTATCTAAGTGAGTTGTCATAGATTCAAGCACTCAAAGTAGGTAAAGGCGTACTGCCTCTTGTAGGTTCTTCTCCACTTGGTTGATTACCTTGAAGGAGGGGTTGTTTGGCAAGCAGTAACCAATGTTGACAAGGTGCACAATTATTGCACTCCTCGTACGGTCATTACCACCTTTCTGAAACCATGTGGTAGGATAGTGTTCTTGAACACTTTTAGATAAGATGCGAGTCGTATGATCAATATATCTGGCTCCAGGGAACGGATGAACGAATATCTGATCACAATAGTTTCTGCACACCAGTAGAGACTTGAGGACATCACTTTTAGCATTGCTACGAAGAACGTTCCGATTTAAGAAGCCGGAATTCTCATTTTCTATGACGTCACTTACTAGGTTAGGTCTGAAGTCGAGTTCCGTGTAAATTTGTTTTTGGTACATAGTTATGCATCCAACCTTTTTCAATGTCATGATAACAACATCTCTGATGTCTACTGACTTGAACAGGTCAAGATGAGACCCTGTTACTGAAAAATTGCATATAAATTTAATTGTATAGCTGAACAAATAAAAGTTGTCTGTAGTTGCGGAATGGCTTACAAAAGCGTCACATGTGTTATTATTATCAATGTTTTTCATCCCCAAATTTCCGATTGCAAGGCGAGGCTTCGGCAACGCACCTCAATTTCACCCTGTTTTTGTGTAAGTACTTTTAACCGACTTCAAGAATTGAATTGGTGGATGGTGACTAGCAATGCATTCCAGGATTCTCGTTTCGTTCTATTTGGGACTTCTCATCCGGATGCACCTGAATTTCTCAGCGACTGGTGATGTTCCCACCGAGACTCAAACCCAGTGCCTATAGTTTCAAACGCCAAAGTGTTATCCACTAGAACGCTTGGTTCACGAAAGCCACCTTTTTTGCAACGGATCATATTAATTATTTAATTTAATTTTAAATCTTTCTGTCGACTGATTGGACCAAAGTGCTTGGTGTCAGGTTGACATGTCAGCTTCTTGTGGAGATGCTTCGACGATGTCCCAAATAGGACGAAATGCACATTCTGGATTCCACTGCTAGTCACCATCCACCAATTAAATACTAATTAAATGCCAAGACATCGTCGAGGCATCTGCACAAGAAGCCGACATGTCAACCTGAGACCGTGCACTTCGGTTCAGTCAATCAACGGGAAAATCTAAGATTCAATTGACTTCATGATTGCCCATAACATCTTGATTCCTCCCAGTGGGGTGCCGCTTGACAGCATCGCATGACAACTTACTCGATGACATCATCAGAGTATGTCCGATCAATTTTCATTTCCTTCTGTACATTTTTCCAGTGGTACATTTCAGATTTACTTGTCATCAGAGCTCCTTGATGCTGATCCTTTCCCATTATCTGAAACTCTGTATAGAGTGAGGTGCATATATGCCGACGAATTTCTGTAGTCGCCTACTGTTAATCATTTTCATTGAGAGATCAATGCTTCAAAGGTTCCCTGATGGCAGTTATACAATGTAATAGGTTTTGATGGAGGATTTCATCATGAGCTGACATTAGTTACAGAACCATTGAAAAAGAAGCAGGACGTGTGTAATACTCTAGATTTCATTTCGCATCAATTTGTAGCTATAAGATATGGTCGATGAGAGTAGAGTATTTGAAAGAGCTAGCTGTTTTTCACTTTCTGTTATATTGTGAAAAATATCGAAGTAGGATGCAAAATGTTAAGTATATAGGGCAAACTGATGGATTAGGTTGTGAAGGTGAACTGACAGAGATGGCTAGCATACAGATTTAGTGTCTTCCTCATCAAATGATCTTAGCTAACGTAGATTAAGGTTAAAGTATAATTGGGGATGGTCAAAATGAAACCTGATATCAGTCCATGAAGTTCCAAACTGTGAACATGAGCTAATAACGTAGGGAGGTGGAGATTGTTTGGACGATTTCATCATGAGCTGACATCAGTAAGAGAACAATTGGAAGTGCAGAAAAGAGTACTGAACAGCTGACTGCTTCATCCTAGTTTCGGTCTCTCCCTCAGTACGCACGCACGGGCACGGTTTCAATCCAGGATCTTCTAGGTTACAAGACTGGCAAGCTTGTAGACCTTTGAGCCACTGGGACCAGATCCAATGACCAGCCCATGAATTCTACTTTCTGCCGATTCATGACGTAGAGCGACTGTTTCTCAATGAATTCTTCGATGACTTACTGCCTCATCTTCAACCTGCTGTATCCTACTGGTCACAGCTTCCAACCAGAACCACAGGTGACTGCTTGAATAGGGCCAGTCACTAGTAAGCATCGGGTATGACAAAATCAGTTACCATGGATTTCAAAAACTTCATCACACATTGTCCTCCAGTTATGTATCAGACATATCACTGAAAGCTTTCATTCCGTTCATGAAGTTCAATCTGGCTTCCATAGAAATTTTATTTTGTTTTAATTCAAATCTTGTTTGTTCTCATTAAGCTGGCTTTTATCTGCTTTTGTTTTTGCAACCCTCCAAAACAGATATGAATATATCACGATATTTACTGTTCCATCAAAGCAGACTGTTCATCACACCAACATATATATTCTTCTAACAAAATACACTTTACAAACTTATCTCTTAAACAAGTTCGTCGAATGTTATTTACTCAACTACAAGTGAATAGTTTAGAACTACTGCCTTTACTGCACACTACTAACTCCTCTACTAGTCCAGATAACTCAAATAGTCCTACTGACAACAAACCATTACTACAATATTCTGATGCTGTGCATACAACTTTCACTATTATCAAAGGGATTATCTACAGTGTAATTATTATGTCAGCATTATTCGGGAATGCCTTAGTATTTATTGCATTTCTACGTTTTACACGCCTGCGACGTGTTCGTACAAATATATTTTTAATCTCTTTGGCACTAGCTGATTTTATTGTAGCCCTATTAGTAATGCCATTCAATGCAATTATGTCACTGTCAAATCATAAATGGATATTTGGAAAGCTGTTTTGTGATATATACAATGCTACTGACGTTCTATTCAGTACAGCAAGTATCCTACACTTATGTTGTATATCAACAGATCGTTATATAGCTATCATTCATCCACTGAATTATGAGGTGAAAATGTCTAAAAAGCGGATCAGTATTCTGTTATGTTTAACATGGACTCTATCCTTTTTTATATCTTTTATACCTATACTACTTGGTTGGCATAAACCCTTTGCAAAGTTGCCTCAATTCATGACGCCGTCAAATGGAATGAAGCAGGTGTATGCTGATAGCACAAGGGATGATGCGGAGGATGCATTCACGTGTGATTTTAATGTAAATCCTTATTATGCTACAATATCATCATCAATTTCTTTTTGGATACCATCTGTAATTATGGTTGTTGTGTATATTCGTATATTTATTGAGGCTAGAAGACAGGAGAGGAAGATTGCACGACTACAGATCAACTATCATCAATATGATAATAATGATAATAATAATAATAATGATAACAATAATAACGACAATATGAAGCCATCACAAACACCCTCCTCAATGAAATCATTAAATTTACTTAATACAAAATGTCGCTCAGTAGATAAACTATGTACAAACTACACAGCACTGAGTAGACGAATCGCAAAGTCATCTTTTTGCGCTAATTATAATAACAACAATAATAATAGTTGCAGTACACCATGCCTACAGATCACAGATGAACGTTACAAAGCTCAGATAAAAATTAAACATGAGAGTAAAGCAGCACGTACATTGGGTGTAGTGATGGGCGCTTTCCTGTTGTGTTGGTTACCATTTTTTCTATGGTATACTATTACTAATCTATGTAAATGTCCTTATCCAAGTGTATTACAAGAAATACTCTTTTGGATTGGTTATTTGAATTCAACGATCAATCCAATAATTTATGCATTTTATAATCGAACATTTCGTAATGCATTTATTAAGATTATTGAATGTCAAAAAGCGACTACATCAAGTGATGATCCCCAGCAGCAGATGGATAGTTATCGATCACCAGTTACCCGGAGAAATAAAATGGATGCATTAGTGGATGGAAGGTGTGCTAGTGTTAGGATAGAGGATAGTAATAGGTCGACAAATGTTCCTTATTTTACTGAAAATAAAAGTATAGATTATGAAGAAAATATTTAAAGCTGACGGAGATTGTGTACATTGTTTGAACAATTTTGTTCAGTGATGTTTTTAGCATGATGTTAAGCAAAAAGCAAAGCGGAAAGATTTCCGATGTTTGAGAATAACATTTTCAAACAAGCTTTCTTTTTATTTATTGTACATATTATTATTGTTATTATGATGTTGCGAATTATGTTGTTATGTGAGGAGATTGACGGACACTTTGATGAAGAGGTTATTTTTTTCATATTTGGCTTATTTTTCTTCCTGCTTGTTATTTGAACGTAATTCTCCAGGAGAGATTTTTCATGTTCTAGGACATGAGACCTTTTAATATTGCTTGAGCACTGATCGTATTGTCCGGTTGTCCAGGCTCAAGTGAGTGGAATTGACTGGGTGAAGTTGACTGATAATCAGGCCGACGATCCCACTTATTTAAAGGAAAACCTCTATTGATTATGTAACGCAAACTTATTTAACTTTTGTCATCCGATATCTGTTGTTCTACATGATGCTAAGAAAAATAGGGTACAATGACTGGTGAATCACGAGTGATAAGTAAGTTTTGATTTTGGTGCCACTATTCCAGTGAAACAGTTATTTTGCTGATGGTCAAAATCCTCTATGTTCAGGAATCGTTGTTATTTTTTTGGAACTTCTTTCTGTCCTTTGAAGTCTTCTTTTGCTGGCTACATGATTTTCCACAATCTCTCATCTCTTCTACACATAACAGCCTTTACGCTACCTTCCCAATTAACGTTTCACTGGAGCGCAATGTCATTCGGTAGTCTCCTCAGTGTGTGCGGCCAATCCGTATGCATTTTATTCAGCACATATTTTGAGCAATAGGTTCTTGGTTGGTTCGTCCCCAGAGTTTATTGTTTTCTTAATTCTTTCTCACCATGTTATCTTCAAAATGGAACGAAGATACCTGTGTTATGAAAGTCTGTGATAGCCCATTTACAATGTTTTGCATCGATGTACGCGCCACATTTCTCATGCATATTGAAGAACTGACTGACTTAGCATTGGTTTTGAATTCTCTGTCCGTGAGAAACTTCTTCAATGATTTTGGAATGAGTTCTTTGTTAAATTTCTGGAGAGAATGAAACAAACTTTGGATAAAACATTTCGACTGGAACAAGTCATGTATTGATAAAATCGTCACAATACGGATCGTCATTGAACAAAGCTTGGAATGGCAGTCACCTCTCTATCTCAACTTCATCGACTTTGAAAAGGCATTCAACAGGGTCGATTGAGAGGCAATTTGGAAACTACTTCGCTAATAGGGGGGTACCGCCGACAATTAGACATCTCATCCAACAGTTGTCAGACAATGCTGCATGCCAAGTAATCCACAACGGGAAACTTACAGAATCCTTTGAAGTAAAGATGGGAGTAAGACAAGGCTGCCTACTATCGCCAATGATTGTCCTGATTGCAGTAGATTGGATAATGAGACAGACAACAGGCAATGAGGAAACAGGCCTAAAATGGACCCACACAAAAAACTTGGAGGATCTGTGCTTCGTCGATGATAATATATGTCTGATTTCCAACAAACTGAACGGTATGCAAATGAAAAGCAACACGTCGACAGAAGGAGCATCCATAGAAGATAGGATTTTAAGTAAACATAGAGAAAACAGAGGTGATGAAGACTTCTGGCCAACAGCAATAGCAACAACAACAGACAACAATCAGCATAAATGGGAGAAATCTGAAAGAAACAACCTCCTTCACCTACTTGGGAAGCAGCATTTCATCTACAGGCAGATGGAACTGACAAGGATATCAAAGCAATGATCAGTAAGGTGCAGGTCAAAAGCTTTTAGCATCATAAATAAGATCAGGATTTTCAAAAACATTGTGGAGCCAGTGCTATTGTACGGTTCAGAGGCTTGCACTGTGCGTCATGAAGAGGACCTCAAACAAACTACAGACTTTCTTCAGCACCTGCCTCTGCTCAATACTCAAGATCAGATGGACGGCCAGAAAAGATCAGGGATCTCTGGCGATGAGCAAACCAACTCAACAGGAAACGATTGTGAAACAAATAGGCAGGAAGAAATGGAGATGGATTGGCCATACTCTGAGAAAACCATCAAGTGACATCACTAGACAATCCATCGCTCGAGTGGAAGCCGAAAGGGAGGTGGCGAGTTGGTCGTCAGTGCAAGGGTGACTTGGAGGAGATCGTGTGAAGAGGAGATGAAAGCATGTGGGTGGACATGGAGCCAGGTGAAAACTTTAGCAGAGAACCGAACTCAATGGAGATGTGCAGCTGAAGTCCTATGTTCCTCTAGGAATAAAAGGAAATAATAATAATATAAATCTTGTTTAAATGGTTATGTGACCTGGCAGAATGTTATCAATATGAATATAATTAACCAATAAAATCTATATTGTGAGCTAGCTACAACGTTATCCACAAGAAAAACAGTAATACTAATACGTAAAATAGAGAAGAGAAGACGGAAGTTTTGATGGGAGAGCTTTTATTTTCCCAGGCGATATCGAAGTCCGCCAAAAAAGAGGTTGAATATAAATTTGACCATTGAAAAAGTTGAATTAACTGAAAACCTTTGAGCGTTAAAATACAATAAGAACCCACCCTTCATAAGAAGTTAAGGAGTGCAAAAGTCCGATTACTAAAACTTTAAAATATGAGTTTCTAGGTGGCTGAACCGCATATGAATCCTTAGCGCTTGGTTCTTTTTAGGCATTTATGTACAGCAAAAATAAGAAGACATTTGGTTGATGCAGTACTCCTTGGATCTCACACCTTATAGCGATCGTTTCAAACACCAAGGCATTGTTCACTAGACCACTTGGGCCCAAAGAGCCACCTCTTGCACAGCAGATGTCAGTTATTGTTCATTTTCAATTAAATTTTGATTTTCTCGTGAATTGTTTGGATACCGTTGTAGCTTCGGCGTAGGGAGGTGTCACTGCAGCAGAGGCTTAAGATTTCCCTTCAGTCATTCTACGGGCGATTCAGAACTGAATTAAAATTAAGAAAAAACAAAGGACCATTGTGGAGTGCATAGAAGTGGTTTCATTTTATATACACTAGATCTTTCACATAGGTACATACTTTAAAATTTGTCAGTGACTATTTTAAGACGTTATTCTCATGCACATAATTCTAGAATGTATTTCAACTTAATACAGTGAAGAATGAAAAGGTAAGATATTTAGAGCTTTTCCGATAGTCAGTACTATTAAAGTTGAGTATTATGCGATTGTCCAAAAAGAAAAAACGCAAAGCAAGTAGGGTGCAGTCTTTAGAGTTAGTCAAAAATCTCTGGCTAAGGTTGTAATTCTTTTTCCTGAAGTCTGAGGCAAATGCCATTTATTTCGCTATACCATAGTTAACTAGCTGAGGTATACATATTCGTATTATTTTTTTTTCGATGATAGCAGTAATAACAGATTCAATCTGATTAAACATTTACATACACTACAGAAGTTTCAGTCTGTATTTTATCAACTCTTTGTACACTACCTTTCAGGAAAGTCGTGATCCTTGTCGACGCCAGGTAAAATCCTGAGTAACATCATCCTGTAGAGAATAAAAGACGAGCTGGATATAGAACTCCGACCAGAAAGCGCTCGATTCAGGAAAGGCAAGTCATGTTCTGACCAAATTGCAACTCTACGCATCATCATCACCATCGAACAAAGCATGGAATGGCAATCAAACCACTATTTCAACTTTACAGACTTTGAGAAGGCCTTCGACAGAGTTGACTGAGAAGTAATTTGGAAACTACTCGAGTACTAAGGCGTACCCGAAATATTCATCAACCTTATTCAACAGCTGTATGACAACGGCACTTGTCAAGTGATCCACAATGCTAAACCAAGCGAGGCATTTGGAGTAAAAACAGGTGGAGTCAGACAAGGTTTCTTATTATCACCAATGATATTCATGATTGTGGTGTACTGCATTATGCGTCAGACAGTGAGTTGGAAACGAGAAGACGGGGATATCTTGGACCCACCGACGTGAAGAACTTAGAAGACTTGGATTTCGCGCGTGCATGATTTATGTTTGATGTCACACAAAATCGAAGACTTACAAGTGAAAATCGACAAACTGGTCGAAGAAGCAGCCGGCGAAGACAGGACTCCAGTTGAACATAGACAAGATCGAGGTTATGAAAATAACCAACCAACAACAACAATAGCAGCAGCAACATCAAGCGCCAATCACCACCAATGGGAGGGATTTGAAAGAGGTTACTTCATTCGTTCACTTATGTAGGGAGCATTGTCTCAACTACAGACAGTCGGAACGGACGAGGATGTCAAATCGAGCGAGAATCGGGAAGGCGAGAAACACATTCATCAACCTGAAACCAATCTGGAAATCTTTGTCACTCACTCAGCATCAACAACATTCAGTTAGATTTTCAATACAAACGTCAAGTCAGTTCTTCTATACGGATGTGAAACGTGGCGAGTGGGTCACAAAGAATATTTCCAACAGCCTGTTGCAGACCAGACTTTTATCAACAACTGTCTTCACTGGCTCTATACTGAAGATCAGATTGTCGGGCCGGAAAGAATCATTAACAAGGAACTATGGGAACAATCAAAACAAGAACCAATCGCCAACAAACAAATATGCAGGAGAAATTGGAGATGGATTGGACACTCATTGAGGAGGGAGGCCGCTGGGTGACATCGCGCGCGCGTCAGGTCATCGCTCTAGTGGAACCCGGAAGGGAAGTGGCGAGTGGGACGCCAGTGCAAGGGTAATATGGAGTAGATAGTGTAAAGAGGAGCTGAAAGAGTATGGACTAACATGGATGCAAGTGGAAAGTACAGCAGAAGACTGAAGCAAGTGGAGACGTGCACTTGAAGCCCTATTTTTCACTAGGAACCCAAAAGAACAATAATAAATAAAAATAAAAGTCGTGATCCTCCCTCGGGGAACTCTGTGTGACACTGTAAAATAATCATGCTGGGATACCCGGCCGCCAGAGGTGACAGGTTATTCAAAAATAGAACTAGTCGTATTCTTCTTTGCTCCTCTCATTAATCACCCAGTATGATGTTCACGTATACGTTTGTGTCCTTAACCCTGTGTACACCCGACATACATCGTTCCACAGGAACAAGTACACTGATTGATGCATCGTGAAATGGACCCGAGAATGTGATTTGTTCAATGTTGCTTGAAATATCTTCTCCAGACACTTGGTAAGGTGAGTGCTAAAGGTTTCTGCTTTCCCGATTTCCCCTAATTCATACACCGCATACTCGGTATTACATTTTCTAGGCCATGGTTCTAGGGTGAATTCTTTGTTCAATATAATTACGAGTGTTGAGGTCTTCAAAATGATTCGCGACAAGTAAAATTTTCTTAGCCGTTACGTTTTCTTATGTTGTTTATGGCTGAGTATAAGTATTTTCTGTTTATCAAAATAATAATTTACAATTAGGAGTGCAAATTACATAGAGTAGAATACGTAACGTAAGCGATAGATCCCATATGCAAGCATCTACTCGACTCTTAACACCAGATTAGCACGATGTCTATATTCATATTTGCTTTTTTTAATTATGATTTAGGTGAGTGAACAAAATATTTCAGCATAAAAATTTTTTATTTAATTTATTTTTCTACGTCGTCATCATGGTGTTTCATTTCTTTCTTTTCTCTTACTTTCCATATTACGTTATCCCCTTTCTGAGCTAATATCCATTAACTATTAAGTCTAGA